TAAATTTCCTTAAATTCGTTTCTTATTGCATACCTGTTTCAATATAAATAGCAACCCTATCACATGTAGGCTCGTTTTAAAGAGAATTTAAAGACAAAGAATATGGCACCCTCGGAAATTAATTTTTTGTTAATGTTTTGTTAGAAAATCTTTGTTTGAAGTGTAGAACTGTTTAGTTTCGCAGTTATAACCGTCGACTTGTTCTACACTTGGATTTGCAGAGAAAATCTACAATTATCAAAGCAAAAAGTCTACAGTGTGGAAAATAGGAGTTGGTTTACGTAACCATTTTCATGATGTGTCGTAAAATAACAATTTGGATTGTTATTTTACAAGCACTTTGTATCGTATCGAAATTGATCGACACGCAAAAATAGGCTGTCGCAAAGTTGTGTGTTTTGTCAATAAAATTGAAAACAATTTCGGCCATTTTTTTTTTCTGTTTTGCTGGATTAGCCGAGAGTGGGTATTTCACTAGAAATAAGAAATGCAATTAAATGAAGGTTGTCTTAGGAGGGTAGAGTTGGGAATGCGGCGAAAAGTGAAAAATTCCTACTAAAATTATGCCAGTCACCTCGTCGGCTGCTGGCTCGAACATAAACCTACCTCTGAGTCGGACGGAATGTTGACGCCTAGAATCAGAATGGCTCGAACGCTGCAAATACGATCCCAGCAGCAGGCAGACCTACAAAACCAGTAAAAGAAAAACCACACTTAATCCTTGCGAATACGGGGTTTCGCTCAAGAGGATAGGGGGCGGGTCTGATAAAGATGTAAAGCGCGTGGGAGAGCAACGACGCTATGCATGGTAGAGGAAAAAAAGAAAAAGGGACGGAGACAGATAAGGAGAACGATATCGCAGCCTGGAGAAACGGACGGCCCGACTACGTTGTGGGTGGTGTGCAAAAGACGGAAAGGAGCGGGGGGGGGGGGGGGGAGGGGGGGGGGTACGTAAGTAGGGGGAGAAATTATTCATAGGCACATCAACCCCGGCTGGGCTGCTGGCCGGGGCGCACCGGGGGCTGTGACACCGCGGCACCCGCACCCGCAGCGTCGGCCTCTGCGCTACCGTCGCTAACGGGAGAACTCCCGACACATCTCGCAATTTTCGTTTCAAGCGAACGATGTCGTAAATCCATAAGCCATACGGGGCATCGCTCAAAAGGCTTACAACGCAGCCACTCGAGGGGAAAAAAATACGGACGTCTGAAGTGTTGTAATACAGCGTCAGAAATTCCCCTGATTTGTGTTTGGCAGTTTTGCTACGCCATTATTGAAAATAAAGTAATGATAAACTTGAAGGGATTTCGACTTAGATGGGCGCAAGATCACAACAGCTAAGCAAGGCACCAATAACATGGTCCGTTCCCATTTAGAGTGCGTAGGAGGCCACGTCGTGCGGCCATAGAGCAGCACCAGAAGAGTACCCTCCCTCTCGGTTTGGTATTCCGGGGAGAGAATCCTTGTGCTGCATGCCGCCTCGGAAGTCCATCCTGAGGGGAGCGAAGGGGGGGG